AAAATACTTGTATATCCAACACAAACAAAAAGTTCCTCTAGTAATATAGTAGATTGTGACATTTGTTATATTAATAATAATTACATTCCATGTTGTGTTTCTAAACACACTGAAAAATAATGCATGAGTGGCTATCAGCTACAGATAAAGCTTTATATATAGTCAAAGGCAAGTATGGTATCTTCTATTGCATCACTTTCATATCCAAACAAGAAATCTGCATCTCATGAAGTCACTAAATTCAAATCATCCAAGACAAAAATGAGAGAATGAATGATATCACAAGAAAACCTTGTTTTGAACTACTCTTAATCTTATATCATGATTCATAACTCCAGTTCGAATTATCTGGTTTGGCATAAGCAAAAACCCTCATACACAGGCACCAAACAACATGGCATCATCTATATTTTTTTTTTCTTTTTAACTAATAAAAAACGATATTTGATAATTAATTGAGAACTTAATTATGTATTTGAGGCATTTATATAACAAACTAGAAGTACTGTAATTAGGTCAATTTAAATCAATTTCAAAATTCAAGTTGGGGAAGATAGGTTAACTAAAACGAGTTCACTACTCCACTATACTGAATCAATTTCAATGAGCAATGTTCGGCCTTTACTGACAATATAGAAACAAAAATTCAGAGGGAGTGAATAGAGATTAGGAGCGAGAAGAGGGGGGACATGACCGAAAGTAAAATCTTACCGCCGCCGATGATCAGTGATGATTGAGATGGTGGGGAAGTTGGTTGCGTTGTCGGTGATGGTTCTGTTGAGAGGAGGGTTCTGAGGAGTTACAATTCTTTTTATTTTTCCCAATCCGCACGAACAGAGGGAGTTATCAGAGTTCTCTTTGGGTTGTGAGGTATATGTGTTATATTTGCTATAACACTTTTAAAGAAAAGTGTTATCTTTTGTTCTCATTGTATAGCGTTTGTTAAAACGAGTGTCATCTGTGTGTTCCCTTATCTTAGCATAGCACTTTCTTAAAAGAACGCTACATAAGAAGTGTTATCTGAATTAATTTTTGTTGTAGTGAATATCAAGTGTTCACAGCCATATTAAAAAATCATAGGCACAATATTCAGATCAGCCACAACCATAGGCACAATTTTAGAAACAATATTCAGAATTACTCAGAAACAGCCACAACCATATTCAGAAGGTTGGCACAATTTCAGAACAGCCATAACCATATTCAGAAACAATATTCAGAATGCAACAATTCAGTGTTTGTTTATCAGAAATCACAATATTAACAATTACAATTTTAGCAACATAAAACTCAGAACATTAGGCACATGCACAGCAAAATACTGAACAATAATCAGTGTTTATCAAAATCATAATATCAAAATATAGAGAAGTACCTTGCCATCCCTCTTAGGAAAAAGCTTTTGAATTTGACTCATGCACCTCACATGTTCCTTCACATTGTATGTGCTAGCTGCCTTCTAAAACCATTTCCTCAACTCTAGATCCCCCCACTTCTGCTTAAAGTTATTGTACATGTGCTTCAAGCAATATCTATGTTCTGCCCCCTCAATCTCACTCACTGCTTCAAGCAAACCCTTTTGTCTATCTGAGACAAAGGTCCATTTCTTCTCATTGTAAGGGTCTACATCATTCATTAGCCTTTCCAGGAACCACCTCCAAGAATCTGTCTTCTCAACCTCCACATATGCCATTGCAATTGGTAGCATATTGTCATTTCCATCCCTACCAATTGCTGAAAGAAGTTGACCACCATGAAGAGTCTTCAGAAAGCATCCATCTAGTCCAATAATTGGCCTGCAGCCAGATAAGAAAGCTTGTCTTATTGCAGCCAAACAGACATACATCCTCATGAACTTTGGAGGTGAAAAATATTTGTTCACCTTGATGATAAGAGAGCTACCAGGATTGTACTTGGCTACTGTGGAGCAGTAGTCATACAACCTTTTATACTGCTCCCTATGGTCAACCTTCAAAAGTGAAAGAGCATACACTTTGGCCCTGTATGTCTTGTGCATATTAACCTCAACCCCACAATGTCTTTTAATCTTATTTTTCAGACTTGTCAAAGTCTCACCAGGATTGTCCTTCAAAGTATCCACCATCTTTCTTTCAAGATACTTGTAGTCTGCTTGAGTGTTCTCTGTCCTGTAAGCACAAGTGTGTTTGCCTTTCAATGTCTTGACCTGAAATGTTGACAAACCTCCAATAATAGAGGCCCTCAAGGACCAGTCACACCCACTTTTACAGATTGCTGTGATTAGCTTTGCTTCATTCTTTGGAACTTCAAATCATAGCCCTTTCTAACTGACCAATCTCTGATCACCTCCTTGAATGTTGCTCTGCATGGAAATTTTTTACCAACCTTCAGCTCAAACCTTGACATATCAGCACCCTCTTTCCATTCATCAGGCTCTTCAAGGCAATTATCATCATCCTCAGGTGGACTGTACCAACCTGCACATAAGAAACATGAATTCAGGGACAAAACAGATAAATATTAAGTCAAGAAAAAAAAAATAAATAAACAAAGCATAAACCAACCTTCCTCTGTATGTGTTCTTAAACCTTCAGCTTCTTTTCTTGTTTTTTTTTTTCTGCTTTCTTCTTTGTTTCAGCCATTCTCTTGCCCTCTTGTGAACCTTCTTAGCATGATCATGTGCCCTCTCTTGGAATATATCATCATCATCAGGGCCTTCAAGATCCTCCAATTCCCACTCAGATAAATCTGAGGATTCACCACTGTCTTCTTGTGGCTCATACTCTGAATCTTCAGAATCATCTGATTCTCCAAATAGTTGTTCTGCCACTCCAGAAGCAAAATGATCATCTTCATGGCCAGCACTAGGTGTTTGGGATTGTCCTTCATCATGTGAAAAAGTGCTCCTTACACCAGCAGTAGGTGTCTCTTCACCATCATGTGCATCAGCCCCAGCAGTAGGTGTCTCTTCATCAGTACCAGCACCACCAGCAGCACCATCATCAAAACCAGCACCATCATCTGTTTGATCACAAGTAGCAGCCCCAGCACCATCATGTGTTTGATCACAAGTAGCAGCCCCAACACCATCATCTGTTTGATCACAAGTAGCAGCCCCAGCACCATCATCTGTTTGATCACAAGTAGTAGCCCCAACACCATCATCTGTTTGTTCACAAGTAGCATCCTTATCACCATCATCTGTTTGATCACAAGTAGCAGCCCCAGAACCATCATCTGTTTGATCACAAGTAGCATCCCCATCACCATCATCTTTTTCAGCTTCTTCATCCCAATACTGGTCTATGAGAATGTCCTCCTCAGTGTATGGATATTCAAGAAGGGGGACCTCTTCTTGTGAAGATAACACATTGCCATCTTAGTCCATCATCACTATAGGGCCTTGCAAATCTTCAAAGTACAGAGGTATCACATCCTGCCCTTCATATTTCTTCACCAGCTTTAAAATGTCATTATCACTGGAAATCTTCAACAACTTCTTTGATGTTTTTAAATTCTTGCCAGGCTTGTGAGAAAATATATCAACTGCGCTTGCTTTGCCCCCTGCCTTCTTATATACATCAAAAAGTTCAAACATGGATAACCTATCCATGTCATAGAAGTCAACTGCAACTCGAAGGCCACCAAAGTAGTGCACAAATGGAAAAAAATTAATCTCTCCCCCAACTCTAACATCAAAAACAAATGCCATCACCTGCAAAACCAATAATAGAATCAGGACAAAAAAAAAAAAGCCATCATAGAATCAGGAACAAAATTCCCTAAACCCTAAAACTTATTATAATTCGAAAATGCCTAATTTGCAAATGCCCTAATTTCACTAAACCTGATTTTTGTAAAATGAATTCACAAACAACAAACCAATACTGAGCCTCAACAAATTGAAACCCTAATTTCAAAAAATTTAACCCTAATTTGAATAGAATCAGCCTAATTAAAAAATGCACAAAATCTGCCTAATCTCAACAAATTGAAACCCTAAATTCGAAAATGCACAAAATACCGAAACCCTAATTTCAAAAATAAAAAATTTAAGACCAATTTCAACTTTAATCTATACCAATCTCAGATCTACCAAACAAATAACAACCAGTTAGCAAAATCCCTATCGAAATTCAATGAAGGTTTGGAAAAATTACCTTATATTTCTTCAAGAAAAAACACGTGCGTAATTATATTTCTTCGAGCAAAAACCCTAGGTAGTCGAATTTCAGCCCTAAGCGAGCATGTTTCTGAGGTTTGGATTGCGAAGAATAGGCTAAGAATTATTTTTAGTTTGGATTTCTGAGGTTTGGATTGGGAAAAATTTTGAGTTTGGATTTCTGAGTTCGATCGCGACGAGAGAGAGAGAGAAAAAAAATTTCTGACTTTAATTTCGTTTTGAAGAGAGAGAGATTTTTTTAGACTAATTGTACTTGTTTGTTTCTGAGGGCATAACGGAAAGTTAAGCAAAAAATTAACGGAGTTAACACGGAAACGAGGAGGGGGGAGCGTGCGCAATCAAAAGTATAATATAAGGGGGTATGGCGCATTTTTTAAAATACAGGGGATAAGGCGAAAATTTAGTATAATACAGGAGGGTTTGGCGCAATTTACCCAATAAATATGTAATCAAATAAATACGAAAATAATATATAATATATAAAATTAGAACTACCAATCCAGAGTCTTCCCCTTCTCAGTACTAATCGCTTATCTGCTGAATACAAAATACTCTTCCAAACCACGACGCTCACTCTCGATCTCCCACAGAACAAGGTAATGATTATTGTTCTTCCATTGTTAAGCTTTCTTGATTTTGACCTAAAAGTTCGTGTCTTTTTTTTTTTTTTTTTTGTCAAATTTACACAAATTGCAAGTAGCCCATGTTTGTGTTTACCTTTTTATCCATGCTTTTGTTATCTTGTTCGATTTCATGTTTAATTTGTGAACTCTCAACGCAAGAAATTTACTGTTCCTCGTTGTCCAGTTAGGTTGGAGGTGGAAAACGGAGCTGGAACATGATTCTTAATGGCTGCTTTGTGAATTCTAGGGTTCCCAATTTGGTCGTTCGTGACAGTCGACCATGTGGCTTTAGGTCTCAAACCTCGACAATCGCAAAAATCCCTCATTCGGGCAAGAAGATTGATTCTTTGATTGATAGAAACTTCTTGGGACCTTTTCACAAAAATGGGTCTGCATCTTTGGGTACGTCTGTTCTGTACACGTTAAGCCTAACAGCAATCTTAGTTTTGTGTCAAAAATGATCGTGTTATGTGTAAAAGAATAGACCTTTCGGAAAATAATTCCGTCTCTTTGCAGACGAAGAATGTCATCAAATGCTTAATATGACTGCCTTGTGGTGTTTGGAAATAATCCTTGAAATGAGACTCATGTTGTGCTTCAATATCTTTAAATAGTGCACTTTGATAGCCAGAAGGCTCGTCTCACTCGATTTTACTCCTTTTGAGTCAATAATTCTTATATATATATATATGTGTGTTTGTGTGTGTGTGTGTGTGTGTATGTGTTAGGTTCTTGTTTAGGTTATGAACACAATGGTACTATCAAAGCCCTTTGCTTAAATTTTATGTCTATGATAGTTACTGCCAACATAAGTGTTTTTTTTGTTATCCTTCTTGAAATCTAAGATTATGGCATGGCCTGAGAGAAGTTCTTGCTCTATCTCACACACACATAACTGATCAATTACCATACTGAATGATCCTTTACAACACTTCCATCATCCATTACAATCACACATCATCCATTCGCATATCCAAAGCAGCCAACTTTCGAATTTCTTATCGACAGGCATTTGTAATCCGCTGTTCCCAAGATTACCAAAATGCCCCCGCCTGCCGCTCCTCCCCCCAAGGGCATCCTCGGACACCCCACGGACTTTCCGGTACCCACCCATGACCAAAAAACCGGGCTTCTTTTGGCGAACCTTGTCTGCAGTCCCGTACCTATTGCCCTTGCACGAGACCTGGATGTTCGCACAGACAGCCTTTTACCTCGCCCCGTTCTTGGAGGATTTAAAGTACGCGTGCTACCCGTTTTTGTGCTCACTCGGGAGGCTGCCCAGCTGGTTCTTGCTTGCCTACTTCTTCGCGGCTTACCTTGGGGTCGTGAGGTTAAAGATTTGGCCACACTTTTTCAGGTTCCATGTGGTAAACGGGTTGCTGCTCGAGATTGGCCTGCAGACCATAGGGCTGGTGAGCAGGTGGATGCCGCGCGGGTTGTACAGGGGAAAGATCGGGATGCATTTCTGGGCGGGAGTTGGGATGGCGTTCTTTTTCACGGTTTTGGAGTGTATAAGGTGCTGTTTGGCCGGGATTTATGCGGATATCCCGTTTGTGAATGATGCTGCTTACATTCAGATTCCGTATTGATTTTAAGGGTGTTTTTTTTTTTTTAGAGATTTGTGGTGTTCTTGGTTGTATGTGTGTGTTTGCTTGAAGGACTTGATGGTGTGTGTGTGTGTGTGTTGTGCTTGGTTGGTTTCTGTGTTGGAGATTGGGGACTTTTTATGTTAGTATTTTGCACTTGTGGACTGTCTCTTTGGCTTTATATCATCATCATCACATTCTTGCTCCTTTAAAATTCGATCCTTTTAGTTCAGTTTAATTTAATACATATCTTGCCTGTTAATGAGTTCTTGAAGATTTCTTGAGGTAATAAAAGGAGCAATAATGTTCCTCTACCTATAGTAGGCACATGTTATAATATGCTCATATGTGGCATACACATTGGTGATGTTAATATGTCCACATAATCGGTGGACATATTAATATGTGTCCTCCGTGGGTAAGAGAGCTTTAACGATAAAAGGAGATGGAGGAAAAACAGGGAACTACAAAAAACAACATTACACCACAGATGTCCATTGTTCATTAATTAATTTACACACGCTTTATTTGATAAAAACACCAACTCCAAAAACAACATTTACAACATTTTGAAGGAAACTAAAGAAATTTAAAAAAAAAAAAAAAATGCTACTCCATCTTCTTCTCTTTGATCTCTTTCTGTCCCCTCCCAATCTTGTTTTTCAAATCTTGAAATCTCTGCTCGACAATGGAGTATACTTTTCGAGCTCTCGTCTTCACTTTATCACCAAACTCCGCTATCCTTCCTTCATTCTTCATATAAAACCCCGGCACCGTCATTCCCCCAATCAATCCTGCAACACAAAAACAATAATAACAATTCGCCCACAAAATAAATGAATAGATAAATAGTAATGCTTTTAATGATATTATCGTATGAATTTAGTACCTACCTAAGTAAAGGAGTGTAAGAAAATCAAAGTGGCTGGCCACTAATGAGACAAGATACAGAGAGGCCACCACGCCTGCAAAAACGAACCACTCCCTCTCGGTGCTGACGTGTAATATCAGCCGGACGACTTCCTGGGCCCACAGCCGGAAAGCCTCCGCCTGCTCCCGAGCAGTCTCCTCGCCGATCTCCAGTTCCGACAGGTCAGGGGCCTCCCTGCGAAATTCAAGAAAATCAAATTACAAACCAAAGAAGAAAAATAAAACTTGGGTTTTATATATTTACTTCTTGAGGAGGCGGTGGATGGAGCCCCAGAAGAAGAGGGAGACGGCGGCGGCCATGGCCAGCCACGAGAGGACGGTGACGAGGCTGTATTGGTAGACATCCATAACCGTCCACAGAGCCGTCGCGGCTAAAAGGACGGCGCAGTTGAGCTGCTTTCTTCTCCACAGTACGACGTCGCTTAATACATCCGAGGTACGGCCCGGAAGCCGAGTGTTCGGCGGGGAAGGTGGATATTCCGATGTATCGGCCATGATTTGTTAATTTAGTACTATGGTTTATGCGTGTGTAACAGAGGACTACAAATTGTTGGGAATTTTTTGATATTTATGTTTGAAGCTTAGAAGAATATAGAAGATGGAAGTTTTTTTTTTTTATTTTTTTATTTTTTTTCTTGAAGTATATCTATGTTACACGTGTGCTTTGAGTAGAGAGGCACGTGTAAGACATGCAGCCTTTCTACACAATTTCAAAACATAATAGCTTGTGAGGAGAATGCTGATTGATGTGCCCCAAATTTTAGTGAAAGGTTATCCGTAACCATTTCGACGGGGTTTGCAATCATTAGGTCATTACGTAATCGTCGTATGAAACAATTCCGTTGTTGGTTTATAATTGTTAGGACATCATGTAACAGTTATAGATAATTGGTCTAACGGTTACAAACTCAAACGAAATAGTTATGTAACTAAAAATTCCGATAGAATAATTCCGTAACGGGACTACTATAGAATTTCCTTATTTTTGAAGCAAAAGTTACACTAAAAAAAAAAAAAGCATGTCCAATATTCAACGATGGGCTTCACTTAATAGCCCATTTAGGAGGAGCGCAAGTCCACAACATAGTCCATCCTTTTGGTTTTTGAATTTGATCCGTCTTTTTTAGCGGTTCTTCGGAGAATGAACACAACTCTCATTGAATATTCATAGACAGTTCTGCTCATCTGTCCACGGTGGGCAGTGTCCATTACTTTATTTTACATGAAAAACGTATTTTGAGAATATATTTTTAAATTAATTTAATTGAAAAACGTATTCTCAGAATACGTTTTTCATGTAAAATAAAGTGGTGGGCACTGCCCACCGTGGGCAGGAGATCAAAATTATATTCCTAGAAGTGTTTTGTCCCAATAATTTTATTTATGAAGTTTGCAATTCTCGAAAGTAGGGGTTGAATCTTTTAATTTTGAAAATTCTTATTCGGATAGAAATCAATTTTTATTCAAAACGAATGGATTCTTTTTCAAACCCTAATCCACTTTAAATCATTTTATACATAAGCGTCTATTCCGTAAAATCGATTTTCGACGGAATTACTCCATAGACCAAATAAATGTGCAGTATTGATTAGCATCTCATTTTTTTTTTTTTTGTATTATATAAGTGTCTTCTTTTCCTTTTCTTCTCTAATGAAAATTCAAGCTTCAAATTTTTTACCTTATGTCTGAGACAAATATTACTTTGGTGAGATTGGAAATATTTGCGTGTGGAAAAAATAACTTCTCTATAAACATATTATTACAGCAACACTAGGCCCTGATCACTAATATCTCAGAAAAATGCTACAGTCCCGTTACGGAACCATTCCGTCGGGATATGTAACCGTTAGATCATCATGTAACATGGAAGTTCGTGTTCAAGTGGTATTGGATCTAGCAATTTTTGTACTGTTGAATCTTCACTATCATCAATAGAACAGCTGTCTGCTGATAACGGTTACAAACTCTGACGGAATTGTTCCGTAACGGAACTGTAAACACTAAAGTCCCGTGAGGGAATGATTCCCTCAAATCAATATAAGTCATTAGATATGTTAGTTTTTATATGAACTCTTAGATGTGGTCCAATAAAAGTGATGTGTCAGTTTTTTATTGGAGTTTGATACGAGAGAATGATCCCGTTACGGGATTGTAGTATTTTCCACATTTATATATCATGGTCATGGGACTTATTTGTCACTTAGAGTGTAAGCAATATACTTCTGGCTTTTAAAGTGCGTTCTGTTAAATAAAAATCATTCTTTTTCAAAGAAAAAGAAAGAAAGAAGAGTAAATCTAATTGAAAGCAAATCACTTTGTCATGTAATGTAGGGAAACATGGAAAATTAGTAGAGTGACAAAAAATAATGGGGACAGAAGATTATGCAAAACCGTGTGGAACCTCACTCGTGCGGTATATATGGCTATAAATTTAATAAAACACAATTAAAATTTTTGAGGGAGAGCTTTGCCGCCCTTGTGGTCCTACCCGGCTCGATTCCAGATTAGTCGGTTTCCTTGTGGATCCGGAAACCGGAAGGTCCCTGTACCAAAAAAA